AAAAAAAAAAAAAAAAAAAATAGCCGCTCGTTTTTCTTTGTTCTCCGGCATCAACCTCGGGTACCCACTCACCAGTCTTGCTGCCCTGTTTTCCTAGTATTGGGGTCCCTGTCCCTTTAAGACTTCCAAAAAGCTCTCGCCAAAACAAAACAACAACAACAACAAAAATGGCCGTTCACTTTTCTTTTGTTCTCCGGCGCCAGCCTCCGATACCCACTTGCTGGTCTTGCTGACCTGTTTCCCTAGTATTGGGGTCCCTGTCCCTTTAAGACTTCCAAAATCCACTCACCACAACAAAGCAACAACAACAAAAAAAAACAAAGATGGCCGCTCGCTTTTCTTTTGTCCTCCGGCGCTGGCCTCCGGTACCCGCTCACCGTTCTTGCTGCCCTGTTTCCCTAGTATCCAGGGCCCTGCACATGCCCTGTGTCTGTGCTCTGGTCCAGATGGCTGGGGCTGGGTGTTCAGCAGTCCTGGGCTCCTTCTCCCTCCCGCTCAGACCTTTCTCCTCCCGCTGGGAGCTGGGAGAGGGGCGCTTGGGACCTGCTGGGCCGGGGTTTGTATCTTACCCCCTTTGTGAGGCGCTGGGTTCTCGCAGGTGTGGATGTGGTCTGGATGTTGTCCTGTGTCCTGTGGTCTCTATTTTAGGAAGAGTTGTCTTTGTTATATTTTCATAGATATATGTGGTTTTGGGAGGAGATTTCCGCTGCTCTACTCATGCCGCCATCTTGGCTCTGCCCCAAGTTTAGTGATTTTATCTTATGTCTAAATCTGCTGTTGATCCCAGCCAGTGAATTTCTCACTTAATGTACTGTGCACTTCATCTTTAGAATCCATTTGGCTCTGTCTGCATCTTGTGGTCTTGCATTAAGATCATGTTTTTCTTTAAGTCATTGGGTATTTCTTAAGTTTTACTGTGGTTGCTTTTGGAGTCCTTCCCCACTAATTCTGTTGCCTCTCATTTGTGGATCTGTCCCTTGGGGCAGATTTTCCTCTGGTTATAGGCCAAAGTTGCTGCTTCATCATTTGCGAGATGCCAGGCATCAAAGTGTGGAGGCTATGCTGTTCATCTTGGGCACATAGCAGCCACCACCCACCAGCGGCTGTTGGGGAATTTGAATGTAGCTAGTCGGGATTTAGATGTGATGAGAATGTGAACTACATGCTAGAACTTTAAAGACTAGTATGAAAAGGAAGGGTGAAAATATCTCATTAGTGATGATTTCATTTGGGTTACTTGTTAAAGTAAAATGTTTCCAAAGTATTAAATTAAGTAAAATACGTTAAGATGAATTGCACATTAGGACTAATTTTAATGTGGCTACTAGAAAATGTAAAATTCGGTCTGTGCCTAGGTACTGTTTCTGTCGGATAAGGTTAGCCTGGATTTTACCATCTTCCTGCAGAGTGTTGGTAATCGTTTTGGCCGAGTCGTGGCTCGTAAATCACCTGGCCCTCCTGGGGCTGTTGACAAGCTCTGTTAGGATGGATCCAGGCAGCCTTTATTGCAGGACTAGTTTGCCCTTAATAGAGAAAAGCCAGCCTGCTGGGGTCTATGGTGGCCCGAGTTCCACAGACCTCTCTGCTCTGGCTGGGTGGAGCTGGGGTGCGTGTCTGCATGCCTAGCCCTGTGGCATAGGGCACAAGCTCAGGTCTCTGGCTCTCCTGCTCTGAGCTATGTCCTCCTCTCAATCTGCCCCCTACCTGTGATTGCCCATCTGCCCACGCTGCCATGCTCTGTGCTGTCTCTGGATGTGCCCTCCAGGTGCTGCCTCTGGCTGCCGCATCCCCAGCAGGCATCCACAAGCTCTGTGGCGCCTACAGAGGGAGGCCCTGAAATGTGCTGGTCCCTTGCTTTCCTTTCTGGATTCCATCTTGGTCACTTTTGGGAAGGTGGACTTGTATAATTTCTGAAATGCCAGAGCATTAAAAAATATTTGGTCCAGAAATGTATATGTTAGTGGAGTTTAGTGAGGAAACAGACATTACGTAACAACAGTGTGTATTTTCTTACTTCAAGGTTTATGAGAATCATAACATGAATCTCAGAAACATTCTTCTGTACAAAAGTGTGCAAGCTGATTGTCCTTAGGTGCATGCACAGAGCTGGGGGACCTATTAAGGTCATGCCCCTGCAGGTGCCAGGACAGCAGCTCGGTACAGCATTCTGACAGGTCACTGCATCTGCTGGTCACATGGCTGGCCCCCCTTCAGGCTGTGGTCACACTAGTGGCCTAGCATAAGCCCTCCTGCAGACACTGAGGCCTGAGTGGTGGGCGCACAGCCCCACAGGCCTGCCTATCTGAGGGTCTGTCAGGGTTCGTGCTGGTCTCAGGCACAGTCACCAGGCCGGCACGTTTCCTGGGCTGCCCAGACCCACAGTGCGGCATCTGGTCTTTCTCTCATGAAGTGCCCAGGGCTGCAGGAACAGGGTCGGGAGCCATCCCTCCTCCATTGCCTGCTGGCCCAGAAGCTCCCATGGGTCTCAGCCCACAGGGGTTACGGTCGTACTCTGTGCACCAGGCTCTCCGCAGGTCGGGTCGGGGTCTCTCAGGAGTAGCCGGGCCTAGCTCCCGCTCCCAGTGTGTGGACATTACAAGGACAACTTGGGGGTTGCATAGAAGCACCGAAGTACCATTGCTTCGTGTGCACGGATGTGAATGAATTGCCCTTCTGTGTGACTTGTTTTGGAGTAACTGGCTTTTTTGCCTCTTTGGCTTTGCAGAGGAGAAATGTTCCAGCGAAGCCTCCAGATGAAGTGAGGGTGAGTTTCATGAATATGTGAGAGCCCGTTGTTGGGGTTCCTCTGGGGACAGTTGTGCTCTGCCTTTCAAGTCAGGTGGCTGAGAAAGGCTCCATGTGTTGTTGTATTTAGAAATGGGTTATGTTTCTGATGAGTGAAATTAAGTGGTAATCTCCCCTTGCCCCAGGGTGTTGAGTCGTGGGTGAGGGGTACAAAGCCACAGTACAGGCTTCTGAATCCAGGCACAGGGATCTGAGAGCAGCGGCCATGCCTGCCGTGCCATCTTCACCTGAGAAGTGCAGGTGACACTGGTGTGTCCTGAGGATGTGCTCCCTGGCCGGCCGGCTTCGGGAGGCAGCGAGGGCTCTGCCCAGGGTCTCTGGGCCATGCAGGTGCCCCGTGGCCAAGAGCAGGGACGAGCTGCAGGCCACCCAGCATACGCTCCATCTGGCCTGGCGCTGGGGCCTCCTTGGGTCACATAGCAGGGTACAGTGGTGGCTGCTATTGGACTTTAGGGCAACGTTCCACCCTGGGGCCTGGTCCACTGCCAGTTTGTCAACGTGACCCCAGCCTGGCGTGCTGACAGCCTGAAATTGGCACCGTGGCAGCTTCCCTTGGGGGAAGTATGGGAGCCAGATGGGGTAGGTTCTGTGACAACAAGGGACGGAAGCAGGTCCGCCATCCCTGAGGCCAAGGTAGCCTGACAGGAGAGGCCCCTCAGGCCCATGCCCTGCAGCTGGCGGCAAGAGCCTCAGCTTCCTCCTTGGCGGGTACCTGCAAGCCACTGGCAAAGGTGGATGTCTGTGCCTACTTTGCAGGCTGGCAGGGTCCCTGGCAGATCCCCCGAGCCCTAACAGAGGTCTGAGGGTAGAGAGGGAGCAGTGAGCGGCCCCCGAACCCGCCAACTGCATGCTCTGCACCTGCCACCATGTGGAGCTTCAGCTTGTAGCTACCTGGTGGGGACCCCAAGTGTTGGGGGCAGGGCGCTGCCCATGACAGCCACTTGATCTGACCAAGTCCAGGGGCCTTCGGGTCTTAGGTGGCATCCTTCCCATGAAATACCAGAATGGCCCTCAGTGTTTGTTTTAAGAACAGCTGTACTTTAGCCCTGAAATCCAAATCTGGGAGTGACAGGCAGTCGGGGGTCATTTCCTGGGGAGGACCAGCCGTTCCTGTAAGGATGTGGTTCAGGGAGTTGGCACAGGAGAGAGTGTTGCCGTGGGCAGGGGTGCACGCTCGCTTGGGATCTGCCACGCTGCCCATCAGGTGGCATCTGAGAACGGCCTCTCCCGAGTCCCTCCGCGCCTGTGAGCCACAGAGGGCCACTTTGTGTGGCACCTCTGGTCTCGGTCATGATGCCCAAGCATGCACTGGATACGCCTATCTCACCCCTCCCGGGGGTGGGACAGGCTGATGTTACTGCCACTGGAACGGTTTCAGCAGCTGGAGGGGACTGCCTTCGGTGAGCTTCCCGCCTCTGCCCGTGTGCCCTGTCTCCTGCAGGCTGGGGACTCACTCGGTGACGGCAGCTCTGTGCTGGATTTCATGTCTGTGAAGTCGTATTCGGACGTCTCTCTGGACATCTCCATGCTTGGGTCTCTGGGTAGGTTGTGCCAGGCGCCCCTTGTGGCCTGCAGTTGAGTCCGCGGGCTCCATCTTCAGGATTGCTGGCCTCCTTGGATCCTGTGCATGGATGCAAGGATGAGCTGTGACGTGCTTGCATGTGCTCCATGTGATAGGCTGGCTGTTTCACGACCCAGATCCCTGGTGGTCTGTGGTGGCCTGTGCACTTCCCCCACTGGCCTGTAGACAACCTATGGTCTGCCTTGGTGGCTGTCCCCTGGGAGCACCCCCCACCATGGCCGTGTGTGGAGACGTCTCTGTTTGTCATGTGGCACTGTGGTGCAACTGGCATTGGTGGGTGGAAACTGGAGATGCCACTACACGTCCAGAAATGCAGATCAGCTCCCACGAGAATGACCCTGTCCCAGAGGCAATTGTTAAAATGCTGTCAATGTATTAAAAGTGGGTGCGTCAGACTTACAGAGCAAACTCCCGATTGCTTTTGCTCCCATCCTGACAGTCTCTTCCTTTGGTCGGAATGTCTTTATAGATCATTTGTGTTTAATGTAATTACCTGTCCTGTTGGATGTAGGTCTGCCATCCTGCTGCTTTTCTGTTTTTTCAATTGTTTGGGGCTCCCCAGGGCCACCCCAAGTCTTGATGACTCCCAGGACTTGGTAGCCATACTCATGGCTGTGGGTCGATTACAGTAAAGGATATGGACCAGAATCTACAAAAGGGAAAGTGTGGGGAGCTTCAGGGGGTACCAGATGGGAGCTGCCCAGGCCCTTTCTCACAAGAATCCCACCAGACTCTCCTGACCCCCTGCGGCAAAGTGGGGTGGCATAGGCACCTGCTGCTAGACTCCTGGGGGAAAGCAGGTGTTTGGCGTAAGCCATGCTGATCCCCACTCAGTCAGGGAGCTCCTCCTGTCATTCAGGTGGTGGGGCCCTCCTGAAAGCAAGCTCACAGCCATGGGCCCACCTTGCCTTCCAGCGCTGGCATCTCTGGCTGCTGTGTTAATGTTTCCTGCCAACTAGTCCTTGTTCCTCTGGGTGCATTGAAGATTCTCTCCTTACCACTGGTTTTCAGTAGTTGGTTATAATGTTCCTTGGCTGGCTTTCCTTCAGACTTACTCTCTGGGCTACGCTCTCCCTGTTGGGCCGGCAGGGTGTGGAAGTTGGCTTTACCTCTGCCAGCAGTCACCTGGACCTGCCTTCCCTCTGCCATTTCTGGCCATCTGGCACTGTGTCCTCGAGGGCCCCAGGGCCTTTCTTCTGTGGCCGCCCCTCTATGGGGCTTCCCGGCCCTTCCCATCTCTGGGAGCCCCATTCGGCTTGTTCAGCTTCTTCTGCTTCCCTCTGCACCAGCATGTGCCCTCCTTGGACATGGGGAGTGGGTTCCCCTCACCGTCCCAGAGCCCTCCTGCTCAGCTCTGTGTCTGCATTCCTGGTGGGCTCTTCCCTGCTTCCGCCCCTGCCTGGTAGTGGTTCACGGGACGCCAGGCTCTGTGGTCGGGCCGTTGGTACTAAACTTGGTTACACACTTGAGCTGAGGTGGTCTTGGGCCGCTGGGCAGCTTGGAGCCATCAGGCCACCCAGCTTCTGCCCTGCAGCATTCTGAGGAGGGCCCAGAGCCCAGTCAGTATGGGGCAAGCGTGGTCCCACTGTTCAGCCATGCGCTTCCCGCAGGCTTGGGCCAAGTCGTCCGACAGCGTGTGAGCCCTTCACTCCACAGCAGGGCCATGTCCTCACCAGGCAGGGACGTGCTTGGCTGAGACTCGGGAGCTCTCAGTGTACTGCTGGCCGGGCCCCTCGGGTTCCCCCTCGTCTGCAGGCTGGTCACACTCGCCATCCTGCTTTGTAGTTCCCTCTGGCGGTAGCACCCCATGGGTTAGATGTTTCCACTGAAGGTGGACCTGGGGCTCCCATCTGCCATACTGCCCTTCCTACCCCAGCCTCCACTCGGCCCCCACAGCCTCTGCTTTCTTGTGCTGGTCTGTTCACTCACTCGGGTGGTGTCCTGAGCGTGCATGCTGGCGGTGAGGGATGGTTGCAGGTGTGGGGGTGGTGCTGGCTGCCCAACATTGCTGCATTTGCAGGGAAGGTGAAGAAGGAGCTGGACCCTGACGATAGCCACCTGACCCTGGATGAGACGGCCAGGCTCCTGCAGGACCTGCACGAGGCGCAGACGGAGCGTGGGGGCTCCCGGCCACCCTCCAACCTCAGCTCCCTGTCCAACCCCTCCCCCTCCGACAGGGAGCAACGCCACCTGGGTGAGGGGCTGCCTCGGGGGGCATAGGGTGGAATTCAGTCTGGGTGGGGCCTGGGCAGTGGACCCCGGCTACCATGGAGGGGCTTCAGGAATGCGGGCTGCTTTCTGCTGTGGACAAGTGTGTGGTTCCTGTAGGGCTATGCTCTGGGGAGAGCATGCCCTTCCTTGGCCCGGGATCTCCTGCATTTAGTGTGTGATGGGGAGCGTAGGCACATTGGGACCCCCCTAGGATGTTCTGGCCCCACCAGGAGGGACCGAGGGTTTGCCCTCTGGCTCCTTGCGTCTGCCTGAGTGTTGTCACCTCAGCCCCGGATGAAGGTCTTAGCTGTGCGGTCAGCAGAGCAAGTCTTGGCATTGGGTGGGCAGCCCCAGAGCCCCTGAATTTGTCTGTTCCAGCCCCACAGACGTGTGCTGTGTGGAGTCAGGGTCCCCTCTCCCATACAGGCGGTCCACAGCCCATCTGTGAAGAGTAACCCTCTGTCCCCCACCCCAGGAGAAATGGGGTGGCCCGTCCCCAGGAGTGTGTTTGGGGGAGGCCTGCACCCTGGGCAGTAAGGGGCAGCCCATCCCCAGGAGTGGGTGGGAGGATGGCCTGTACCCCAGGTGGTGAGGGGCGGCCCCCCAGGTGCAGGTGGGAGGGCAGACTGTACCCTGGCAGTGAGGGGTGAGCTGTGGCTCTCTGGCCATGTCCTGGGCTTGCTGACAGTGGTCATGCAAACCCAGTCTCTTGATTTAGGGCCCCTGAGTGTGCAAGCATGCACAGAGCCTGGTGGGCAACACCCTGTCTATTCCATAATTGCAGGAAGCCCTTCTCGCCTCAGTGTTGGTGAGCAGCCCGAGGTGACCCACGACCCTTATGAATTTCTTCAGTCCCCAGAACCTGCAGCCTCTGCAAAGAGCTAGCCTAACGGAGCATCTTCAACTTTTTTTATATTTTTTTATTTGCATGTATAGTCTTTGTTGTGAGAGACTTTCATTTTGTTCCCTCTGCCATGTGGGAGGCAGCCCTGGGGATGGGGTGCCTCGTCTGCAATCACGTCAGCCACAGTGCAGTGTTTCTGTAGCAGCTGCGGTCCTGAACAGTAGAGAACATAGATAAAGGCGTGTGACCAGACAGTGTGGGCTGCTGTGGTCTCCCAGCACCCTTCCCTAGCCACCCTGGGGAGGCAGAAGAGGGTGTGTCTGTCCGCCTTCTGTTGGGAGCCCCGCCTGTCCCTGGGGCCTCCCAGGTCCCGGGCATGTCATGATGAAGAGTGTTCTGGTGTGGTGAGCAGCTGACATGCCCTCTGGCCTGGGGCCAGCTGGCAGTTAGAACAGTGTCCCCTCCTCTAAACCTCGAAAGGCCCGAGTTCTGGTAGAGACAGTAAGCTGCCCCCTGGCTGTGGTGAGAAACTGCCTGCCCGAGGACATGTCCTGGACACCCGTTCACATTTGAAGAACACAGCACAGATCTTGACAAAAGGCACACACGGTCCTGTGAGACGCCCACTTCTGAGTGACTGAAGGAAAATCCTTTCCCAGAAGATGGGGGTGGTTCCTCCTGCTGTCGTCTCCCATCTTCTCAGCATCTAGACCTGTTCTCCACCCGCTGCGAGGCCTACGGTCACCCACCGAGCTGCCTGCTGTGCCCCTCAGTGTGAGAGCAGAATGGAATCCACTACCTCGGGGGCAGGGTCAGTCCTGAGGGAGGAGGTATGCCTGCCTGGGACGGTGGGCCTGCTGGCCACCGACTGCCCGGGATGCAGGCCGGCCCCAGCACTGTCTGGATTGGAGAAAGGTCCCAGCACCCGTGGGAGGCGATGTGTGTCCGGCGTAAGAAGAAAAGAGTTTGTCAGCTGGGTGTCAGCGAAGGAGCAGACACCCAGGGGCAGGCCCAGGAGCTCGGACCCACTGCAGCTGGCCCTCTGCTGGCCCCATGCCCATGAGCGCCCACATCTGTGCCACCCCGCATCCATGGGCATCCCAGGTGGTGCGGCGGTAGAATCTGCACTTCTAGGCTTGGGTTGGGGGTGGGTGCTGCACTCGCCCAGCCCTGGTTCTGGATGGGTCTCGAGGGTGTGGGTGCTGCGGTCACCATCCGGGAGCCTTTCCCACTTCCCGGCCCACGGCCTGAGTCCATGTCCATGCCGACGTGGGCACAGTGCACAATGGCAAGGCTGGCTGAGACACGGTGAGGGCCTAGAGCCCCAGACTCCAGGAGGGCATGGACTCCACCTCAGGGGCCCTGCCAGATGGTGTGAGCACCACCTGGCTCAGTGCAAAGCTGCAGCTGCCTCCTGCCCCGGGCTGTGGTGCAGATGGTCAGGCCAGGTGGGCAGCCCGGTGCCCCTGAGAGCAAATGCACAGCGAGGCCTATGTCGCTGCTCAGGAAGCTGCATGCCCACTAGGAAGTGGGTCCCCAGGAGCATCCAGGGCCCAGGCCTTTCCTTCTTAATCTTCATTTGGTAAAAAGGTGATACAAAAATGTGTTCTTTGTTCTCTGTATGGTGAGCAAGCGCTGCCTTTGTGGCTTCTGGAGTCACCTTCATGGAGCACAGGTACCTCTGAGGAAGGATCATTTCTTAAAAGGTGTGAGCAGCTGGGCCCCCCAACCCCACTGGAGGATTGAGGTCCCCTGGGCTGGTGCCTCCCTGCCCCTGAAACCCTGGCAAGCCCTGTGCCACACGGGACCTGGCTGGGGGCCTACTGCACACCAGGGGCCCGTGTGGAGGCCACCCACCCCAACAGGACTGGGGTGGCCATCATGGCCATACACGTGTCTGGCTGTTGATCCCGAGTTATCAGACATCTTCAGGAGCTGTGAGGCCATCCTGATGGACAGCCTTGGCCACACATCAGCCCCATTCAGGAGTCACAACCTCGCCACGGACCACATCTTTCTCAGGGTGAAAGAATGCCTGCTTTTGAGGGGTGAATGCCTTTGTTTTTAGGGACCAATGACTGTGGCTCATATCTTCCGCAGCCGCGGCCCCTGCTATGCCATTGGCTGGTCTCAGGTCTGAGACCCCAGTCATGTGGTCTCATTGCCTGGTGTCCCTGTGGTACATGGTGGGCTCCATCCACGCCACTGTCTCGGGCCTGGCTGGGCAGCACTGTGGCTGGCAGTAGCTGGCTGTGGGAATCTGGGCTCCTGCCTCACTTGGATGCGGTTTTTGGTCGGAGGTCAGTGCCACTCTGTTGGTGGCAACTGGGGCCTGCCCAAAGTGGGTGCTTGCTTGTAGGGGCCCTGGGAGGCAGCCACCTTCTCCACTGCCTGGTGACTGTGCTCCGGCTGCCCATTCCCTGGGTCCCTGAGCCTGGGGATGCCAGGAAAGCGTCTTGGGCCTCGGTCTCTGCTGCCTATTGTCAGCCAAGGATTCTGGGTGAGCATCCCTGTCGACCTACGGAAGCCTTGCTCCCTGGAGATCTGCAGGACAGCACCTCCTGGCTGGGGGCACACAGCAGCTCAAGGAAGCGGGATCCAGGTGAGCAGACAGCATGGGCGCTGAGGAACTGACATGAGCAGGGACTGGAGGGCTGCGGCAGGGTTCCTGCTGTGCAGTGCGCCCACAACCCTCACTCCCCAATTCCTCTCCTGCTGGGCCTCTCATGGGGCAGAGTCTAAGCCAGAGGCCCACACCAGAGCACACAAGCCTGGGTTCCAGGGGCAAGGAAATTGGGTCAGATGCCTGGAGTGCTTGGCCATTGACCCCTGAGGCCAGGAGGGCTGTGGGCCAGCTGCTTTTCCACTGAGGGGCTGGTGTAGGAAGTACGCTCAATGCTCAGGGTACAGGTGGGGAGGGGCTCACGAGCCCTATGCCTTCCACATGGAGTCGCATAGGGTCTGACTCATGCCCCCCAGCCAGCAGTGGGGTCTCTGGGGCTGGGCCCTGACTTTGTGAGGTGCTTTGGGTTCCTTTACTGCCATGTCAACTGCAGGCCTGGCTGTGCCTCAGTGGGGCCTATGCCAAGCAGGGGGCGACTGCTGCCCTGTGGCACCTGTACCCTCAGCTGTGAACAGGTGAGCGGCGGGCACTTGACTCTTTCTCATCAGGAGCTGGCAGCTTTGACTGCAGGGCCTCCCAGGGCACAGCAGTGGCCATCAGAGCAATTGGGACCTGATGAGTGATGGGGCTTAGGAGATGTTAGCACAGAGGTCATGGTGTGTGGGCTGTGTGTGGCATGTAGCATGTGGGGGGTATGTGGCATGAGCTTCCACAAGTCAGAGCCTTGTCTGTGGCTGGTGGGGCAGGACCCTTGGCGGTGGTGGGACAGATGCTCAGTGGAGCAGGGACGAGCACCTGCTGTTGCTGGCAGGTCGGAACCCCCAGTCACCACCTCTGCAGGTGGAGAGCCATCACCTGCCTGGCATGGCAGCCAGCACCCTGCACCCTCCCTCATGCTGCTGCAGAGGAGCATCTGAGTGGGGGCCATGCTTGTGTCTGCAGGGGGCTCTGTTGGGGGTGAGCTCGACTAGGAAGACCCCCGAGTAAGCCCCACATGGATGCAGTAGATGGGCATCCCCAGGTGTGGCTGTCACCCAGTGCCCACCCTGGCTGGGAGGCAGCACAAAGCACTTAGCCAGGTGCCTGCACTGTTTGAAGGAGCTGATCAAGAAAGGAGAGTATGGGAAAAACACACGTTTCTCTTTGCATGTGTTTCACACTAGGTGTGAATGTTTGATGCTATGGAGCCATCTGAGCGAAGCCTCTGCATGTGGCCGTGGCCGTGGAGAGCCCAGGCTGCATCTGCTGTCGGCTCAGGCCAGGGCCCCCGTGTATGGAGAACCATGCGGACTGCAGCCCCAGCCAGGGCCCTGCAGGCAGACCTCATCCCAGTCATCGGGGCATGTGTGCCCACCCTCCATCATGATGCCCTCAGGCTGTGGGTCTGACTGGAGGGAGTGGGCCTGCAGCGGGCGACTTCTTCATGCAATGCACATCATGAATGGAGAGTCTTGGTGTTTGCAGAGCCTGCACCCTCCACGTCTTCACATATCTGGCCTCGTGGTGCTCACGTGGTGGCAGTTTGTCTGGGTCTGTTTTAGGGTCAGAATGCTCGGAACCTAGAGACCTGTTCTGCTCAGTCCTACAGACTCTGACGCCAGACTCGAGGGTCCACCTCAGTGATTGTGCTCCTCCCAGGACATGCGTGGGACCGGGGACCAGCTGCAGGCTCCCCAGCACAGGCCTGCAGTCAGCTGCCCCGGGACAGTCACAGTCCTGCACACACTCGCCCTCCTCCCTGTCTGCCTCGCTGTCTGGATGTCCCGGCAGATACCGTGTCTCCGGCTCCTGTTCTGCACGACACTTGGGTTCCTATCACACCTGCGACAGTTCCCGTACTCCCTGAAATCAGGGTTCCTGGAATTCCCCAGAATGCTGGAACTGGTCTCCACCAGTGTCCCTCCTGTTTGCTGGCCCTCCCATCCAGATGCTGCCTTTATTTGGAGATTGGGTCCAGTACAGACAGCCTCTTTGTGTTCTGGGCCCCAGCACCTTGGCCTTGCTCCACAAACATGTTCTCTCAGGATGCCCAGGATTCTCACATAGGCTCGGGCCCCCATGACTCCAAATCCACCTGACACCCCATCCAGAGAACGAGAGCGGGCGGCCAGGAGCAGTGAACCATAGCCCCGGTCTGCTCCGAGGATTCTCAAGGGGTGGTCCCAACGCTGGGAGCCACAGAGCAGTCCTCCCGCCCACCATCACGCCATACTAACGTGGACTCCATTTCCTGGGCATTGTGTTCCCAGGAGACCAGGGCTTAGTGTGGCAGGTCTGCTGCTGCTCAGTCCCACCTGTGCGGCTGACAGGCGGCTCGCCCCAACACCCCTGAACACTTGCAGTACCCTCCTTTCCTGAGGGCCCTGCCCCCTGGCATCCCAGAAGCACTGCGGTTCCCTCCCAGCTGCCCAGCCCCAGGCAGCTCCAGGATGCCAGCGGGCCGTGGCTGACAGGTCTTCCCACCCGTGGAAGGAATGGCACAGGGCGTGTCATGGATGAAAAGGGCCGTCATCCCTCCGGCCACTTTGCTTTTCCTGCGTTTCCCCAGTTTCCCTGGGGTTGGGCCTCTGATACGGGTTTTCTGCCTGCATCTGGGGAATCTCCATATGGGTCTATTGCATTTTAAACAGGTCCTGGGACTCTGCTGGAGTGGTTCCCTGGCTGGGAGCCACTGGGAACTGCGTGCGCCTGGGGTCCTGGCAGATGGGAGCCCCTCCTGCTCGTCTTGTGGGCTACATGCCTCCCAGGGCTGTCTGCAGCTGTGCCACCACTGTGGTAACGGTAGGCTCTGCAGGACCCCTGACCCCTGTCGGCTCTGCCACCAAAGGCCGTCCCTGGCCCCCAGGGTCCCCTGGCCATGCCACACTGCAGACAGGAGTCCATGGCCTGCCGTGCCCTTGCTCCGTCTTGCAGCAGGAGCTGCAGATGGGTCACCCCAGAAGCCGCAGCGGACGGGGAAGCTGGCCTTGCCACCTCACCTGTCCTGAGTGAGCAGCTGGTTGAAGCCCCTGCACTCCTTCCAGGCGGTGGCCTGGGCCACGTTCCTCATCTTGGCTGTCACCAGCTTTGGCATCTTCAGCCCCTTCCTGTCACACAACTGGAAATAACGTTGCCTCTGGTGTATCCTTTATGGGGGCGCCTGCTACCTGAAGTGGGATGGGGCTTTTGCCAGCTCCAGGCCCTCTGCTTGCTGGCCATGTGATCCTCTGCTACTCTGTCCTCTGCATGGAGTCACCAGCGGGAGTGGCCTGACCTGTCCCCCACCCCAGTGCCCTCACTGCACCCCACACACACCCACTATCACAGCACCCGAAACCCTGCACTTCTCCATGTGGCTCATGAGCTTGAGGTGCTGGCAGAGATGCTCACTGGGGAGCACAGGCCCCTTGCCCACCCTGGGCACAGGGAGAGTGGGCCAGGGGCCTGGGGCAGCAGGGGGCTATGGCAGGGCAGAAGGCCCCAGGATAGAAGGACTTGCACAGTGGGTCCCTGTAGCTCTCTAAGAGGTTGCAGAGTGTTCTGCCCAGCACAGGGCAGGTATGTTGATAGGGAAGCATTTCAAGACTACCATCCCTGGGAGCTGTCGGGCAACCCTTGTGGCTGGTGACCTTTCTCACCTGAGACCTTCCTGGGGGCTGTGTCGGGTGTGTGGGGCCCTATGTCACACCCACCCCATCCTGGGTCTGCAGCACTTGACCAGGGGACCCTGGGTCCCCACCAAAGGCCCCCTGACATTGGTGCCAGGGACAAGCAGGGTCACTGTTGGACCCACATCCCTGTAGTGGGAAGTAGCTGGTAGCTCCCTTTGCAAGGATATGGCCTGCACTACCTGTGTCCCTTCCCGGCCAGGAGTGTGTAATAGGGGGGTGTGGGTGGAAGGGAGGTGACTGGGCAGGACGCAGGAAGGACCCAGGCCTTCTCTCAGACCTCAGCCATCTGTCCTGAGCCTACAGCTTTAAAACAGTAGAGGACGGCGTGATGGCCCAGGTGCAGCCAGCCAGCTACAGCTAGATTCTGCCCATCTCGCCCCATGCCTCATGCACAGATGCTGCAGTGTCCTTACAGCCGGCGCTGTGATGCCCAGTGTGCTTCTGGTGATGACTTGGGTGCCCACAGCCACCATTCTATGACTTTCCCTGAAAGGTCACACAGGATATCACCACCCAGTCCTTACGCTGAGACTGACTTGCCCCGCTTTCTGAACAAGTCCTTTGGTAGATGCATGGGCCCCTCTGGGACACCACAGGGCCCGTGTGGGGTGAGGTTGCTGTGCCCTGAAGGCCCCCGCCTGTGATTGTCAGAGGGACCAGGGCATCTCCCTCACACTAGATTTTTTTGTGTAGATGTCTTAAATAGAAGGAGGACTATTCAGATTTTCTGTTTAATCTTGCGTCTGTTTTTATAAATTGTACTTTACCCAAAAATGTGTTTCATCTAAATTGTCAGATTTCTCGTAATACAGTTGCTTGTGCCGTGCCCTGTTTTAGTGTCTGTGGGAACACCTGCCGTGGGACCACCCACCGTGGGCCTGCCCACGCCAGGCTATCACTTTGTTTATTGAATCGTTTGCACTGCAAGATTGTAATTTTCTTTCTCTGCGTTTTTTTTTTTAAGTGTCTGCTTTTATTTTTATTATTTCTTTTTGTTCACTTTGGGTTTACTTTGCTCTTCTACCTTCTTCAGTGGACACTTAGGTCATGAATTTTAGACCCACAAGTTTCCCTCTAAGCAGATGCACACATGCAGATGTGCACATCAGTGGCTCACACACCAGCCACAGGCACCTACACGTCACGCACAGGAGCACAGGTGCACAGGGAGGGGCTCCCTCGCCCTCACTGTCTCCCAGCTCAGAGAAGGGCGTCTCCCGGGAATCTGACATTCAGTCTGTGTCCTGACCAGGCCCCACTCATCTGCAGTGTCTGGAGGGGGTGCAGACAAGCAGGGGCCCAGGGGACATTAGCCACCGGCCACCTCTCAGCTGCCCTTTGTTGTGCTCATTCAGCTTGTCTTGGTTTGCAGGTGATGTCTAGGCCCGAGAGTGCCAGCCTTAGCGGGGACAGGATGAGGGTGTGGGGGGAGCAGAGAGCCTGCCTGCCATGTGGAGCGGCGGCGCACACCACGAGGAAGAGTGAGTCAAGCCAGCCCTCCCCCGGGGCCCTGAGACAAGGCTCACAGGTGCCACATCACCAGGGCAGGGCCCGAGCCAGGCAGGGCTGATCTGGCCCAGCCAGGTGGGCACACACCAGCTGTCGCCAGGCATATGTGTGGAAGGGCTGACAGGGCAGCTGCTGTGCTTCCCTGCGGCCTCACAGGCACCGCCAGCCTTGCCCCCTTCCTCATGCCTGGCGGGTGTTTCTTGGTTCCTGGTGACAGCCACTCCAACCCATGCCCTGTGGCTCCCTCCTGTACAGACCCCACCAGTGAGCTTTAACAGCCACCATGGCCCCGCCCTCTGCCTCCCCAGCTCCATGCAGCCTCTGACCTGGCCAGCCTCCCCCATCACCATGTCCCTGAACATGTCTGGTCCAGGAGCTGAACACAGGACAGTCGTCGGTCCTGTGTGCGCTGAGCAGAGCTGCCCCAATTTGGGGTTCCTGTGCCTCGTGGGAACGGTGGGATTTCCAAAGCCCCACGTGACCCCCATAGCTTGTCTTATCACAGCCACAAGATGGGAAGCAGCTTGACAGTCCCCTAGGCAGCCCATCCTGAGATTCTCCAGCGGCCCCAAAACATGCTGTGTCAGGTCCTGTTAACCTGGGGATCCAGGCTCACACCTTGCAGGTGGTGCTGGGGTCTAGGTCTCTGGTCCAGCACAGCGCTCACCTGCCTCTAGTTGGGCAGCGCTTGTGATTTTCTCTACCACGGTGGCGTCCAGGCCTGTGCCAGTGTCATGCCCTCTGGTCTACCCAAGGCAAGGAATACCTGTCTGCCCTCGTCCAGATGTGCTCTTATCTGGAGCCTGTGAAGTGTGGGAAATCTTCCAACTTTGCTGCCCTCCTGCGTTGTTCGGCTGCTGTTAAGGGTGTCTCCTTGGCGGCACTATGAAGCTGCTCTGTATGAGCTTCCCAGGCTGCCAAAAAAGCCACAGTCCTCTCTCAGCCTGGGCCAGAAATGGAGGTGTGGGCTGGGAGGCTCCAGGGAGGATGGACCCAGGCCTGTCCCAGGTCTGACGGCTTCAGCGTCCCTCAGGGCAGCCATGCTAGGAACTCTGCTCTGGCCACTGGGGGGCACCAGCGTCATTCAGCGTCGCAGTGAGTGTGGCCAGTGGCCTGTGGCTTGGGATGCCCGCCCTGGAAGCTGTGCTTTGTTCCTGGAGGGGTCCCTGCCCTTGACTCCACAGGCATGAAACCTCAAAGGTGGACGGATGCAGCATAGAGGCCAAAGGAATCCATTCTCCTGTTCTGCAAAGGGCAACAGCTCGATGCCCTCCGTCTGCTGTGTGGAGGGACTGATGTCACTTCATTTCACCCAGGAGAGCCTGGGCAGAGCCCAGGGCAGAATGGACCCGGCCGCATGGCACCGCGCCACCCCAAGGGGTGCCCCTCCAGCACCAGGGCTGGCCGGGTGTGGACATGACCATGCCGGTGGGAACTCCATATGGGCTCCCTCCACCGCCTCTTCCTGCCAGAGAACAGGACAGGAAAGGTTAACAGCAGCCAGCCGAGGGCGTGTGTCCTGGCTGGCGCCTCCGTGATGTTTATTTACTAAACACAGATTGTTGCTAGGGGACGTTCAGTTGGTTCTCAGAGCAGCCTCGCCTGGAACTCAACCACAGTGGCCTCCTGCCTTACGTGAAAGCGATAGCTTGAACCCAAGATGCGAGGTAAAATTACACCTGAAGGTGGAGGCAGGGACCTGTGGTGGGCAGAGGATCGGCTGCCCGTTCACGTGTGACATCTTGAGCAAAGTGTAGCCAACTCAGCATAGCAGCCCTGTGGGTGGCCTGGGTGTTAGCGGGCCCACCTGGCCCCGGCTGATCACTGGGCTGTGCCTGGTGAGACAGTGGTGGGAGACCTGCTCCTGTTCGTGCTGCAGACTGACTGCTTCCTGCGTGCAGGCAAGACCCAGCGTATCTGGGCACTTGGGGTCCCTGCCCTAGAAGCTGTGCTTTGTTCCTGGGGAACATGTTCTGGGAAGTGGCCTGGTCCCGGCACCTGCAAGTTTGGAACGGCTGGGAACATTGGCTGTAGACAGCTCTGCAGGGTTGTAGCAGCTCCATGTGTGAGCTGAGTGTAGAAGGGGGGCAAGGATAACCCCATGCAACTCAGTACTGGCTTCACCTGCCACCTGGGTAGACGCCACCCACCCTCCTGACCACCCCACCCGCCGGTTTCTGATGAGGGCAGAGGAAGAGGCCATCCCTAGGCCACAGGCAGCTTCCTGCCGCATCCCCTTGTCCTCAGCTGTCCCCTGCCTGTGTCCTGCCACACAGGATGGACATGCTTCTGTTGCCCCAGTAACCACACAAACAGTGTTGTGCGTCCATCCTGCACTTCAGGGAGCAGGGGGGCCAGCGTGCCAGGCCTGTGCTACCCCTTCACTGGGCCACCCCGTCTGCCTGCTCAGCAGTGGAGTTGGGGTTGCTCAGGCCCTACCCTACTGCAGGGAGGGGCCGGGTGTCACCGTGTCCCCTAGTGGCACATTCCCTAGCCCCACAAGCGTCCCCAGGTTCTCAGTTATCTCGCACCCACTTTCCTGGTCCCCCTGGAAACTGCTTCCTGTGTCTCCATACCCACACCGATACCCAGGCCTGGGCTGTTCTCAGCACCTGGAGGCTGGAGAGCCGGGGAGGTAAGGGCAGCTTTGGCCTGAACCGGCCTCCCACCTGGCGCCTTAGCCTGGTGCTTGTTGCTCACAGGCCTGTTGGGCAGACGTACAGTGACCCCAGGCCAGGGCCCAGGTGGCCCCAGCCTGAGTGGCAGACCTGAGCCCACAGCGGGAGCCTGAGAAGGGCCCCACAAGGGGCTCCTGCGGTTTGGGGCAGGGATCGGGACTCCCTACCGGGAGCCTGCCTGTGCACTGGCCCTTCAGGGAAGCCACGGGCTGGGGGGCTTCTGCATGTGGCTGTCTCACCCACGGGAAGAGACCCTGTGGGCAAGCGTCTCTTCCCACCACATCCAGGCCACCCTCGCCCGGGAGGCAGGCCTGAACCCTGCGCCCTCCTGGCCCAGAACTCCTCGGAGAAGCAGGGCCAGTGCGGCAACTTCCTCCCCTGTTTGGTTTCTATGGGGATGGTGTGCCAGCCCCAGGGCATGGGGCGGGGAGGGGGCGTGTGAGGGCTTGTTTCCCCAGAGAGCTGGAGGATGGCCTCAGGCCACGCGTGGACTCCAAGTGACTGACACCCAGAGAGCCCCACAAATCTTCAAGCCACTGGCTTGTGCCACGAGGTCATGCCGGCCACTGGTGCCATGTTGGGACACGGGGCTACAGCCTGAGGATGGGGTCACCGACACCCACCAAAGCGTCCTGAAAGCCACCTGCCAGCATGCCCCACTTTGTCCCTTGTGGCTGGAGGGAGTTGGGCAAGGCCCTGGGGTGCAGGCCCTCCCCTTCCTGCAGCCAGCAGGCAACTCCAGGCCTCAGGGGCGCCTCAAGTCATGTGGCCTTCCAGGCCTGTTGTCCTTGACCCCCCAGTGACCGGTGGGCTCTTCTTTTTCCACTGCTTAGCAGCCCACTTGCTGGCCATGTCCACTGACCCGGCTAAGGCCAGCGTTCCCTTCAAGAATGACTCCAAGCCTATGCTGACCTTCCACTGGTCCAAACACACACATGTGATTCAGAACCAGTATTGCTGAGACAGGAACCGTGGGCTTAGACAGAGTTGGGTGAGGGCCTCTGGAGAAAGCAAGGCAGGATATGTACAGTCAGAGCCATGCAACTACATGCAAGGAAACCCCCTACCAAACCTCTGCATTAAACATGAAGCTCTGGAGCCATTCTGCTATGAGATCAGTTAATATTCCCCAGATAAATAAGATTCACTTTAGCACGCTAAAAGGCCCAGGCCTATGTGCTGTCTTTCCTCCTTCAGACCTAATGAGGTGATTTGCAATCTGGGCAATTAATAATGGCAAGTAAGCCCAGCCATAAACAACATAGTAAAAGGCAGGAAGGATTC